CCAGGACAGTGAGGTCCCTCCAGACACCCCCACATGCTGTGTCCCCTAGAACCCACCACGGGGCTTCACAGAACACAGAGTTGTTCTGGTTGGAAAAGACCTTTCAGATCATCCAGTCCAACCATTAACCCAGCTCTACCCAGTCAGTGCTGACCCGTGTCCCTCAGCACCACATCTACAGGGCTTGGAAACACCTCCAGGGCTGGGGATTCCATCCCTCCCTGGGCAGCCTGGGCCAGGGTTTGAGACCCTTCCAGGGAAGAAGTTTCTCCTAATATCCAATCTAAACCTCCCCTGGCACAACCTGAGGCCATTTCCTCTGGTCCCATCCCTTGTTCCTGGGGAGCAGAGCCCGACCCCCCTGGCTCCAACCTCCTCTCAGCAGCTGCAGAGCCAGCAGGTCTCCCCTCAGCTCCTTGTCTCCAGGCTGAACCCCCAGCTCCCTCAGCTGCTCCTGCTCACACTTGTGCTCCAGCCCCTTCCCCAGCCCCACTGCCCTTCCCTGGACACTCTCCAGCCCCTCCATGTCCTTCTTGCAATGAGGGACCCTGGAACCTCAAGGTTCCAGGTGTGGCCCCAGCAGTGCCCAGCACGGGGGGACAATCTCTGCCCTGGTCCTACTGGCCAGGCCACCTCCTGCTGCCCTGGTTAACTGGGATGTCCCCAAGGTGCAGGGCAAGGGGTGCTTGGGGCAGCCACCCCTCGGCAGCCCCAGGGGGTCCCCACACAGCCCCCACCTGATGATGACACACTGGTTCTCCCCATCAATCAGCATGTTCCTGTACATGTTGTCCGTCAGGGCGTAGATATGGGGGGGATTTTCATACTGAGCCTGAAGAGGGGGAGCAGGAGCTGAGCAGGGAACCCCACCAGCTCCCCCTCCCCAGACCCCCCCAGCTCTGCCCACCCAGTGCTGGCAGCAGGGATGGGGGATTCAGGCCCTTGTCACCACCCTGAGCTCAGCAGCAGCAGGTTCTATCAACCCTCCTGCCTCCTGGGGAAGCTGCTCCTGGCAGGGTTGGTCCCTCGGGCTGGATTTCCCCACGTTTGGGTTGGTTTGGGGTCAATTTCTAAGTTGAATTTCCCAGGACTGTGGATTTGCCCCCTAGTCTCCTTATAGGCTCCAGCAGTGTCTCAGGGAGCCCTGCACTCCCTGCAGCACCCGGGGGGCTGGAGGGGGGGACACACACACGTGTGGGACACGGGAAACCCCCCCTGGTGTTCCCCAGAGCAGCCCCAGCCAGCCCCCAGAGCAGCCCCAGCCCCCCAGAGCAGCCCCCAGAGCATCCTCACCGCCCCCTGGTACAGCTCCACCTCCCGGTCCGTGAAGTAGGGCATCTGCTTGAAGGGGTTGACCGAGATGAGCACCGGCCCGATGTAGGTCTGAGAGGCAGGTTAAGGTCTCTGTCCCTTCCCAGGTCCTCCTGTCCCCTGTCCTACCTTCCCAGGTCCTTCCTTCCCAAGTTTCTCCTTTCCCCTGTCCTCCCTTTTCATGTTCCTCCCTTCCCATGTCCCCCTGTTCCCATGTCCTCCCTTCCCGTGTCCCCTCCTTTCCCCTGTCCTCCCTTCCCATGCCCTCGCTTCCCATGTCTTCCCTTCTCATGTCCCACCCTTCCCATGTTCCCCCTTCCCATGTCCCCCCGTTCCCATGTCCTCACCTCCCATGTCTGCCTGCCCCCCCACCCCCCCATTCCCAGGGACCCACTCCAGCCCCTTCCTGCCTTGCTCTGCCCCCCAGCAGCTGCTGATTGTTCCTGGGAAGAGCAGCCGTGGGGGTGAGGACACGTCCCCATCACGCTGTGGGGCCTGGGAGCCACCAAGCTGGGTGGTACCAGCTCTGTGGTGGGAGCCTCTGGGCTGGGGGATGGCACAGGGGGGCACTGCTGGGCAGGGTGGGGGGGCTGCACCCTGCACTGGCCCCTCAGTGTCACAGGACACCAGGGGAGGGCAAGGGGTGGCACCTCCTCCGTGTGTCTCCAGCCAGGACATGCTGTGGGCACCAGGGGAGGTTGGGGACAGCAGGGGACAATGGTCACAACTGGCACTGGGGTCCAGCCCCCTCAGCACTGGCAGGTGGGGGTCCAGTGTGCAGGAGCCAGCAGCTGAGGGGCTTTGTGACCACCAAGGAAGGACCAAAACGGGTCCTGGGGCAGGACAGGGTGGGGGTGACAGTTGCAGCGTCTCCGCCGAGTGCAGCTCAGCTTGGGAAAGGTGGCATTCCAGCCCTGTCCCACCACAGCCTGGGGGTGGGACACTTCTGCAAGCACTGGGGCAGCCCCAGTTGGACCCACACCCTGGGGGAACAGCCCCACTGCTTCCCAGCTTCCCTGTCCTGCTGCCCGGGAAGGATACAAAGATGTAATCGTCCATAAAGCGCTTCTTGAGGTTCTCCACGATGGAGTCCTCGGAGATCTTGGAGAGCAGGACCATGTCATCCACACCACTCTGCTTGACATTGTGGCTCTGCCAGTGGAATCTTTCCTTGCTGCCCTGCAGGGAGAAGGTCACAGCCACTGCCCCAGGGCCACCACGATGCCAGGGGGGCTCTAGGCTGGGGTCTGGCCCCAGCTCCCCCCAAGCTGCTGGTGGCTCTGACTGGTCCCAGCTGGGCCTCCTAAATAGGTGTTTTCAGGTGGTGCAAAGTGGTGTTTGGGCCATGCTGGGAAATTCCAAAGCTCAAATCCCAGTGGTGGGCTTGTCCTTTCCTTCTGGCTCCCACCCCATCCCTCTGGATCCCACCTCATCATTCTGGATCCCACCCCATCCCTCTGGATCCCCATCCATCCCTGGATCCCACCCCATCCCTCTGGATCCCCCCCTCCCTGCAGGGCCAGCACCTGGAGAGGAGCAAGGGAGACACTGGCAGCCTGAGGGTGTGTTTGTACCCTCAACCTTGCTCCTCGTGGGGTAAAATGAAGGGTAACAAAGCACTGACTGCACAGCCTTGGCTTGTGAGTCAAAGTGGAAGCAAAAAAAAACCCAGAGGAAGGGCAAAAATGGCAGCTGGTGGGGATGTCCCTGGCACTGAGCATCCTCTGTGCCCCACATCCCCTGACAGCAGGGCAGGAGGGTGACTGTGCCCCCATCAGCCTTTCCTCCCCACTCAGGGGGACACCAGCATCCCCTTTCCAGCTGCCCCCCAGATGGCCCAGCTCTGTCCTCCAGGGCCACGGGGCAGCAGGAAAACTGGGCTGTGCTTTAAGGCCTTGGGGGCTAAGGACAGATCTGGGCTGGGAGGGGAGGGTGGTTTCACTGGGTAAGAAGAAAACTGCCCCAAAGCCCCTTGGTCCTTGTCCTCTTGGTGCTGCAGTGGGACCCCAGTGCCCACTGCTCATGTACCCTGGTGTGGTGCTTGGGAGGGGAACCCCCATATCTGAACCTGCCCCTGGCACAGTATCCAGGGGGAACCCCCATCTGAACCTGCTCCTGGCATGGTACCCAGAGGGAACCCCCATATCTGACCCTGCCCCTGGCACAGTATCCAGGGGGAACCCCCATCTGAACCTGCTCCTGGCATGGTACCCAGAGGGAACCCCCATATCTGACCCTGCCCCTGGCACAGTATCCAGGGGGAACCCCCATCTGAACCTGCTCCTGGCATGGTACCCAGAGGGAACCCCCATATCTGACCCTGCCCCTGGCACAGTATCCAGGGGGAACCCCCATCTGAACCTGCTCCTGGCATGGTACCCAGAGGGAACCCCCATATCTGACCCTGCCCCTGGCACAGTATCCAGGGGGAACCCCCATCTGAACCTGCTCCTGGCATGGTACCCAGAGGGAACCCCCATATCTGACCCTGCCCCTGGCACAGTATCCAGGGGGAACCCCCATCTGAACCTGCTCCTGGCATGGTACCCAGAGGGAACCCCCATATCTGACCCTGCCCCTGGCACAGTATCCAGGGGGAACCCCCATCTGAACCTGCTCCTGGCATGGTACCCAGAGGGAACCCCCATATCTGACCCTGCCCCTGGCACAGTATCCAGGGGGAACCCCCATCTGAACCTGCTCCTGGCATGGTACCCAGAGGGAACCCCCATATCTGACCCTGCCCCTGGCACAGTATCCAGGGGGAACCCCCATCTGAACCTGCTCCTGGCATGGTACCCAGAGGGAACCCCCATATCTGACCCTGCCCCTGGCACAGTATCCAGGGGGAACCCCCATCTGAACCTGCTCCTGGCATGGTACCCAGAGGGAACCCCCATATCTGACCCTGCCCCTGGCACAGTATCCAGGGGGAACCCCCATCTGAACCTGCTCCTGGCATGGTACCCAGAGGGAACCCCCATATCTGACCCTGCCCCTGGCACAGTATCCAGGGGGAACCCCCATCTGAACCTGCTCCTGGCATGGTACCCAGAGGGAACCCCCATATCTGACCCTGCCCCTGGCACAGTATCCAGGGGGAACCCCCATATCTGACCCTGCCCCTGGCACAGTACCCAGGAGGGAACCCCCCACCTGGACCTGCCCCTGGGGGGGACCCCCCAGCCCAGCCCTGCCTGCAGCCCCTCTGAGCTCATCCCTCAGCCCCCCTGGTTCTGCTTTCACCCCTTTGCTCCCAGCACTGATTTCACTTCTCCTCCCCTCCCCGTCGCCCCCGACCTCTTTCTCTTTCCATTTCCCTTTTCTCCTCTTCCCCTTTTGCTCCCTTTTCCTGCTGGCTCTCAAGATCTCAGGCCCCCAGACCCTGACACCCCCTCCCCTGGGACCAGCCCCACCAGGCACCAGCTCCCGGGGGCAGCAGGACCCTCATGGAGCTGGGAGGAGCTCAGGACCCTCCTGCTGCTCGCCCAGCTTCCCCGATGGGCTTGGCAACCCAAAATGCCACCCAAGTGCAAACCAAGCCCCTTCCAGCTGGCAGAAGGGCTTTTGTCTTCATTGCTCCACCACCTTCCCTTGGGACACGTGGAGCTGGGTCAGCTCAGGGGTCCAGGTGGGACTGGAGCTTCTCACACAGCCTGAAACCACCCAGGGAGCTTCTCCCCTTCCTCCTGTTTCTTGCTTATGGGCCTTTTTTTCTTGCCTTCCCCTCCTCTCCCTCCTAACAAAGCCCTAGAAAGGCCACCTGGAAAACTGCAGGTGGGCTCAGACCTTTGCTCCAGGTCACTCTGCTGTCACCCAGGGAGCTGCTGGAGACCCCAGGAGCCTCCCAGCTCCAACCCAACCTGGACAAAACCTCCTGCTTCAGGCAAGGGGGACTGGGGGGGGTCAGGTCACTGTCCCCTGTCCCTCTGTCACCCTGAGCCTCCATCACACCCTGAGCCCTCACAGGCACCCTGGGCTCACGTGGCTGCTTTGGACACCAAATTAAGGCAAAGACGAACATTTCCTGTGTTGCAAACTTGGTGCTTTTGAGCTGACACCCCCAGCTTCTCCCTCAGCCAAACACCTGCTCAGAGCAGGCAGTGAGCATGTGCCTTCCTCCTCCTCTTCCTCCAGGCACAGGTTTGGTGCTTTCCTGGCCCAGCCAAGCACCTGGCTCAGCCCAGCTGGGGGGAAAACACCAGTTGCCTCCATAGGAAGGTTTTGTCCCAGGTATCTAGTGGCCCCTGGTTGTTTCCACCCAGTTCTGGGAGCAAAAAGCCTCTCTGGGGTTTCTCAGCACGTTCCCAGGGGGGCTCAGGGCTGGTCAAGCTGGGTCAGAGCCTTCTGGGGTGGGGATGAAGAGGGGTGATGGTCCCCAAAAACCCACAGCACTGCCCGAGCTCAGTACCCAGCCAAGCCCCCAGGGGCTGCAGCTTCTTGCAGGGAGCAGGGGCACCAAGTGAATTTGATTCCAGAGGTTTGGGGGAGCAGCTCTTCAGATCCCTCTGCAGTTCCCAGCCCAAGCCAGGGATGAGCTGGAGAGCAGCAGCTCATGCAGCCACCACTGTGGGGTCCCCAGGGGAGGGGACTGATGGGTGGCCTGGACCAGAGGCCATTTCATCCTCAGCTTCCAGCAGGTGCACTTTGCAGCCACTTCACACAGTGTCTTTGCTCTGCCATGCAGCAGGGGTGCACACATGGGGGTCCCCCATTGGGACCCCCCCCCAGGAGTGTCCCAGTCCCATGGGGACTGTCACCACCACCACAGCCACCACCTGTGCCCAGGGCTGTGGGTACACCCGGGTGCTCAGGAAGGGATGGAAGAGGCAGGGAGGGGAGTGGCCCCACGGGTTGCAAAACAGCATCTGTGTTTTTCTTCAAAGTTCAGGTCTGAGCCACCAAAAACCCTCTGCAAGCCCCGGGCAGGGAGGGGACACAGCCCGAGGTGGCACCTTTTGTCTCAAGGCAGGGGAAGCTCAGATGCAGCCAACATCTTAAAACCACAGGAAGCTTTGAGAAGAGCAACATGAGGATGTGTCTGGGGGTTGGCGGATGTTTCATCACTCTCCCAAACCCATCAGCTCCCGGGCACAAGGCAGCATCTGGGGATGGGGAATTTTGGGGATGGGGCATTTTGGGGGATGGGCCCTGGCAGGGGTTGTGGCTGCACAGCCCTTTGTGAAGCCACAAAACCTCTTCAGGTCTCGGGTGAGCTGGGGACAGGGGTTGTGTCTTGGGGACAGCATCAGAGCTGCTTCTGAGAAGTGGCAAGTGACTGTGGGCGGGAGAAGGTTCTGCTTGAGCTGGGCCACCATCCCCTTCCTGCCTGGGTGGAAATGTCTGGGCACAGCATCACCCAAGGCAGGGAGGGAGCAGAGCTGTGGCCACCCCATGCAGACCCTCACTGAGCACCTCCCTAATGCTGAGCGTTTTCATTTCCCTCTTCTCCTGATTTCCAGATCAGCTCCCAGCTCTGGCTGCTGCTCCTCCTGCAGCCCCGTTGTCCTGCCCACAGCCCTGCTCCCTGCAGGCACCAAGGTGCAAGCTCTGACCCCGAGTCCAGCACCCTGAGGGGCACAGAATCTTTCTGGTTAGAAAAGACCTTTGAGATCATCCAGTCCAACCACTAACCCAGCTCTCCCCAGTCAGTGCTGACCCGTGTCCCTCAGCACCACATCTACAGGTCTTGGAAACACCTCCAGGGCTGGGGATTCCATCCCTCCCTGGGCAGCCTGGGCCAGGGTTTGAGACCCTTTCAGGGATGAAGTTTCTCCTAATATCCAATCTAAACCTCCCCTGGCACAACTTGAGGCCATTTCCTCTGGTCCCATCCCTTGTTCCTGGGGAGCAGAGCCC